TATTTAATTGTAAATAATAATTAAAATCAAATGATTAATGAATATATTATTAATTATAATAGATAAATTTAGAGAGAAAATCTATCACCTGCTGCTAAGGTAAAGTTTTCTGCATCGGTACACCCGCTGGGTGTTTCTTCGTGTGCAAACAAATCCGGTTGAACAGTAAGCTGCACAAAACGGCAAATAAAAGTTAAATAAAAAAGATATAATAATGAAAATTAATTAATAAATAAATTAATTAATTTTCATGTATTATAAATATAAAGAAAGAAGAAAACAAACCTTGCATATTGTTTGGTTTCTGCACTTAGATCGAACCCAAGCCAAGCTCGTTGTGAAGTGGCATTGGCCCTGACGCCATTCTCCATTAGCTGTTGGATATAAATGATGAAAAATATCGGGAGAAAAAGTAAAAAAATATTATTAATAGTAATTAAATTAAAATAAATATTTATTTATTTATTTTAATTCAAAAAAACTAACATTCAACTAAAGGAGAGCCGAAAGACGCTCGCGTTGCCTCCACCGAACTGCCAGGTGGGCAGATCAAGACAATGCGCTTCCCCTGATATATGAATTGTTAAGAAGGCGAGTAAATGAAGGAGAAAAAACGAGAAATTAAACCTAAATACATTAAATAAATGCATTTAGATGTACATACTGTTGAAATTATCCTTGTTCCCGGCAAATAATGCTTGTAATGCTCATTGTTTATGTAGCCGTAGAGGTAAACAGATCGAGCATCGTCACGCTGGGGCGGGTAGAGCGCTGTGATCAGGCTGCGAGCGTTGGCTGGAATAACATTCAAAACGAGGGGAAAGAAGGAATAAAATAAACCAAAATAAAGCATTTCACAGTATTTATTCACTTTTGAAGATTAAATTATACTTTTAACCGCAAGTTTTTACTTTTTGATGGACTTCGCTCATGCGAAGGAAACCGCTGCCGACGGGTGGTGCCTGTACACCCCAGACAGAACAACGACTGCGTTCAGGTCTCACCGTTTCTTTGTCAACATCAGAGTTGTTCATGTTCTAATTAATTGCATTTTCTTCTTTTATTATTGTTTTAATTTGTTTTTGGAGAAGATCTTCGTTTGATCTGCGTGTAAGTGCTGCCGGTCATAATCAGGTCCGTTCATTCGCGTTGCTTTCTTACCGAATGCAACTCTGCTGTGCCGATATTCCAATTTGCTTTGAAATAATATAAATAATTGTAAAAAAGCATTTTCTATTTTTTGAAAACAAAAGAATGGCTCAAGACAAAAAAAACAAGTGAACGACAGATCCCTCCCCCCGCGCTTTCAGGGAAAAGCCGGCGTAATATTCAACAAAACGAAGCAGAGAAATATTTCGATTTCTGAGGAAAACAAACGAAAACAAAAACAGCAGGAGTATTTTTCATCCTCATACCCAACTTGTACTGTTGGTGG